ATCGATTGCCTACAAGCATTTTTGCGCACATTAAGGTTCTTGTTTCATTGACATGTAGCATGCGAATTGTGAGGCCGAGAAGCGAAGAATTAAAACTTTATTGCACAAAATGTATCAAAATAAAGCATTTCTAAATATATTATTATTGATCGACTTTTTATAAGGACAAAGTAATACAGAGTGTTAAAAAACAATTTATAAGAGAAGGATAGTATAAAGATACAAATTATTTTAGATATTTTAATGGTAGGAATCAAACAAGTTATTTCCGAAAATTAAGAAAATACAAAAATTAAAAAAATATTTAATTACAACGATAAGTAAATAAAACTCAAATTATTACAATTTAGGTGGCACATTTTGTGCAATAAAAAATTTTAATCCTTCGCTTTTCGGCCTCACAATTCGCATAATAAATGTTCATAAAACGGAAGCCTTAATGTGTGCAAAAGTGCTGGTAGGCAAAAATAACATGTATGCAATGCTGCTTGTGCGCAATAGTGTTATGTGTGCAAACGTACATTTGTCTCTAATTTGATTTGTAGGTAATAATATCATGTGTGCAATACTGCTTGTGCACAAACGTACATTTGCCTCTTAATTTTTCATTTGTGTTTAAAAATGCTTGTAGGCAATCAATCCGTAAGCAATACTTTTTGTACTCAAACGAACTGTCGGCAAAAGTGATGTTGGCAAACGCTACTGTTGGCAATCGATTTGTAGGCAAATGGGACCCTTCCTCTGTAACATGAAAAACGAGTTTATAAATTTTATATTTAAATTATTCCTTTAAAAGCTATTAAATCTTCAAACAAAGTTTTTAATATCAAAACCTGACACTAACTTATAGATATTATAAGATTTATTTTTTTTTTATTTTCAAATTTTTATATTTATAAGTTATATTTAATAATACTAAAAAAGAGGTATTCCTATAAAATTATCATTTCACAAAAAGTAAAAAAACAACGCCATATGTATCACTCTTTATATAAAATATTTGATATAAAAGACTAGCACGCACAAACTTTTGTAGTTATCAGTAAAATAATTTAATATATTTATTGTACTTATGTATTATAATTTGTATACTGACAAGCTACTGACACTAAATTTTATAAATAGTTTCAGTATTACGTAATACATAAAATTACATTACTTCACCGCAAATTCTACCGTAAATGTTAAAAAGCAGTCTTAAAACCAAATGTGACGTATAAAAACTTGTCCTGATTGTATTAAAATCATTTACTGTTTTATAAAATGACTTATTAATTATATGACTTATCTTTTTGCATCAATTATATAAATATTGTATAATAAATAAAAAAGTGTTTTAAAAATTCCAAGTATTTTTTTTTAATTTTTTGAGGTAATGTTTCCAGATTTATATAAATAAAATTGTATAAATTTAATAAATAATAAATTGAGTGTTGTTAAATGATAAAAATATACATAAAAAATAATAAAATTTATTTAATATTTTAATTTAATAATCTTATGTTATTATATCCGTTTGTCATATTGTTCAATAGTTGGTCAAAGTATTTTAATGCAAACTGGATGCGTCACGTTTTTATACGTTTAGTTTTAAGATTATTTTATAATTTAAGATTAATACAATTTAAAATTTGTGGTAGAATTCGCGGCAGAATAGTGCAATTATATATATGTCGCGCAACATTGAATTGTATTTTTACAATTTAGAAGCTTGTCAATACACAATTAAAATAAGACAAGTACAATAATATACGGATAGCGCATGTATAATGCTTGATGCTATTCATTTACCTTTTGTAAAAATATAATTTCATACACTTATTCTAACTTCAAAATGCCTGCATTAGAAAATGAGAATACAAGATGAGGATTGGAAAATCTTGAAGGAACTTGTGTAAATTGTATAACGCGCAAATATGCGAGTAAGTGACTACGTGTGACAGTTTCGTAACGTTGAGCGTGTCACAGGAAGATGAACATTATCCACTCAACGTGCTCCAAACCATCACTTTATTCTCTATTTGAACGTAAAGCTGCTCGTATCATCCACAGCTTTATTTATTTAACCCACATATTCATAACAATTCTTTATAAAACGTTTCATCTTCTTTCTTAATTTATCTAGAAAGTTATTATTATAATTAATAAATTTAATAATTTTTAATTCGTTATATATGCATAGTTAGTTATCACAATTTATTTTTTACTATATACATATATGTATCTATTGCAACCGTATAAGTATTTCACACACACTGAATAAGATAGGCCCCTACACGGTTATACCAGGACCTTGGTGCTACAATTTTATTATGTGATCTTACATACGTATCCTAGCTTCAACTAAACTGCGTGTCGTTTTTTACTCTATACGTATTTTTTACTCTTTACTTATTTAGTCATTATTATAATGCTATATATAATAATTATTTATTTGTACATAGCTTTTTCGTTATATACATAAATAACTTCCAAATCATTTTACTTAATTATTGATCTTTGATATCTCTTCTAAACTTTACAGACAACTGAAAATTACCATAGATGCATTATAAGCAGGCAAAAATCATCATAATACAAGGCTTTAACTTCATTATGATGAATTTTAATATTTATAAGTATATATATTTTTTTATATAATAAGAATATATGTGCGTGCGTGCGTGTGTGTGTGTGTGTGCTGTCTCTTATACACATCTC